TGCTTGAGGGTTAACATTCTGAACGGAAGCTTGTGAAAGGCCCGGTTCAGAGTCCTCAAATTCAGGATTGGTCTGAGCCCCCCGCCCTTCTTGGGTACAATAAAGTACAGGCTGTAAAACCCCTTCTTCATTGCGGCCAGGGGGACATGCTCGATTGCACCCTTTTCGAGAAGGGTTGCAACCTCTGCCAGAAGAACACCCGCATTCTCGCCTCGTACTGAGGTAAACAGAATGCCGCTGAACTTAGGTGGCCGCATGGTGAACTGAATTGCATAGCCGAGGCGAATGGTTCTAAGGAGCCATTGGGAGGGATTGGAGAGGCTTAACCAAGCATCCAGATACCCTGCCAATGGTCTCAAAGGAACCATGTTCGACGTACCTCGGGCAGGGTTCCTGTGGCTGAGCGGAGTGGAAGGCGCTGTGGTAGGAGGTGAAACGTCCTGTAAAACACACCGCGTCTTGTCCGCAGAATCTGTCACATGTGCCACCGATGGATGAGGGAACATGAGTTCGCCAGCATGCGTCGTGTTGGCTGAGTGATAGACCCTTTGCATTTGAACGTGAGGAGACAGAGTGTCTGTGTCCAAACAGGTTCTGATGCATGGTTTCAGCGTCTGGCCGTCGCAAATGGGAGGGTGTGTATGTGAGACCCACAAATACTGTGTGTGTGACCCAAAGAAGAAGGAAATTGCTCTTTTATTGACCAGGTGGTGGCTATCTGCCAGGTGGCAGACAGCCGTGGTGGAGCCGAATCCACCTCCCGTCCTCCCGTCTCCAGGCTGGCCAGGCTGGCCAGATGGTCCCTCCTCCCTGGGTCACCCGTCTTAGGAATGCTTTGAAGTCTTCCTGGTGCAGGAACGCTTTGAAGCCTTGCGAGGGTTCCTGGTGCCCTGATGACGAGCTGGCGGTGCCACATTCCTGCGAGTGGTGGGCCGTTGGTCAAGCTTGACTGAAGGCCCGGGCTGTTGTGGGGCCTCAGCAGTCCTCACAGGGGGCCGTCCCCGGCGACGAGCAGACGGGGGCTGCTGACTCGGGGGTGCAGGAGCAGGACCTGACCCACGCCGAGGCTTGTTGACCTTGTTGACCTCCATCTGCTTCTTCACCGTGGAGAACTGCTGGGCAAATTATTCCACATTGTTACCAACCTGTGGAAATCACCCTCCCCAGAGCCTGCGCCGTGACCTTCGTAGCCCAGAGGGCATAGTCACTCGCCGAGCGCAGTTCCTGCAGTACCTCTGGGTTGGGACAACCCTCGTGCAGCTCTTTCAACGCTTTGGCCTGGTAGACCTGCAGGATGTCCATAGCGTGCAGGGCGGACGCAGCTTGACCAGAAGCTGCATAAGCCTTCGCCACTATGGACGAAGAGAACTTACATGCCCTGAACGGGAGTCTCGGACGGCCCCGCCAGGTGGCAGCGTTTTGCGGGCAAAGATGCACCACAATCGCTCTCTCCACCTGGGGAACCTCCGTATATCCCCTTGCTGGACCCCCATCGAGGGTGGTCAAGTCACCTTTATTTATATAGCGCTTTTAACAATACAGATTGTGTCCAAGCAACTTTACAGTATTAAATAGGACTGAGCGCCCATAGGTGCTTGCTCAGCCGAGTCATCTGTTTCCGATGGCTCAAGCCCGCTCTCCGATGCTGTGATCGACAGCTCGTCCTGCTCGCGAGCCCTGAATGAGAGATTGAGCCCACCCAGGGAAGGGCTCTCAAACTCATCCGGAAACTCGACCGGTAAGCACGAAGCAAGGGACGAACGGGAAGCTCGCGGGGATTGCCCCGGCGAAACTAATCCCTCCTCCCCATGCTCTTCCATGGCGCACATCGCTGCGGCATCATACCCAGAGGTAGAAGGACCAGAGCGGCAAGCAGCCGCGGTGACTCGGGGTCTTTTGGCGAAGAACCCGAGCTGCGGGCGCAACGTGCCAATGGGAAGTGCCTCGCAAGCGGGGCACGAACCATCCACAAGTGCTGCCTCAGCGTGAGTACGGCCCAAACACTGAATACAATGCTCGTGCCTTTCGTCTTTCGAGAAGTGCCAACCGCAACCAGAAACACACGGATGGAAAGGCATGATGAAACACACAATTCCACCCGTGTAGCTCTTTCAGAGAAATTGTACTCTTTTAGAGGGAATTTGCTCTTCTAGAGATCGCAGTTGAAGCACTCAGGGGTACTCTCACAACACTTATCTGTGTATGAGTAGGGAGAGACAGCTGACTGTGCCTTAGATCCAATGATGAAGATCGCAACTTCTCCATGAGAGACACTACATTCGGCTCCGAAAAACAGTACGAGTGAGCAGATCTCTCACAACACTTATCTGTGTATGAGTAGGGAGAGACCGCTGACTGTGCCTTAGATCCAATGATGAAGATCGCAACTTCTCCATGAGAGACACTACATTCGGCTCCGAAACACAGTACGAGTGAGCAGATGCCAGCTATGCAGATTCTGCACACCCAATTTCATTGGCCTTTTCTCAAAGATGTCAGAGGTGTTTGGGTTTCCAAGAGCGACCCCTAGTGTTGTACACTCGACACAACGTCGGAGTGAGCGACAGAAAGGGAACCCATCTTGTCTTTTTAATTTGTCTGCTACTGCATTTGCATTTAGTTCTGTTGTGTCGGGACTGATTTGGGCTTGATTAGATATTGATTGCTATTCTTGTGATTGCAGCCAGTGTGTTTTTAAATCAGACTCCTCTTCCTCTCTTAGTTTATTCTTTCTTTCTTTTTCTTCTTTTTCATTTTAATTTGAAACTCTGAGTAGGTAATAAGAAAACATTATACATAAGACATTTAAAATATCTACTGGAGGTGGAAGGAATTATCAAAGTACATGTGTACTAGTACATGTACACTAGTTATTTTTGCTGATTATTCAAAGAAAGTGTTTTTCTTTTTAATTAATGACAATATCTATTAAATTACATACTTTAAACCTGCAAAGTTCTCATTCATATCAAATTAATAAGTCCAGTGAAAGTGCAGAACATAAATACTAACATATAAAATTATCTAATTTACATAATGTCAGTTTCACAAATGTATATCCATGTGTTTGGTGAGTACATTTCTTATGATCCAAATATTCAACATAGCTATATTTAGCCTCTTTCATATCAGAATCTGGAGAAAATATCACAAGTGCTCAGCAACAAAAGATAACATCAAGCAATTCCAGAAGACTATTTTAAGGGTTCATACGAGCCACATTTTATCGAGAAGAGCCAGCGCTGTGAAATTTAATTTAGTTGCAATGCTGCGTGATTTTTAGCTGTATTAATGAGTTTAACAACTGACAAGCGACCGCTAGGAATAAAAAGTCAAGGCCCAAAGCGCTGCTCGGATTGGCATATAAACTCTAATAAACTCTAAATTATTTTGATGAATTCTAAATATGATTTATTTGCCAGGACCTGGTGAGTTTCTGTCTGGGTACTGGCAGTTATGGTGGAGATGGGTGCCTGGAGAGTAATTTCCAGCATATAAAAATTTACTGACTTCAGTGTGGGACATAGGAAGGTAATTGAAAGCAATATAAACAATCCATAAAGGTGAGTGGACATGCTTGACTTTGTACAAGTGGAGAGGCAAGGGGATGAGTGGCGACTTTAATCACAGAGGGCAATGGCGGAGACGGCGACCAATCGGACAATGCTGATGTATTCAGGGGTGGAGAATTGAGAAGGATGGATGCCCGAGAGGGTGAGAGATCGGTATGGGCCAGGTGGTTCATTGCCACCCAGCTGCGGTGGCACTCAGAGATGCCCTACTGAAGTCCTAGCTAAATCATTACCAAAAGATCTCTGCTCAGTGTGAACAGTGACTTCCTGTTTCGGCTCAAGGCTGTGTGGGCTGTGTGGGCTGCTCTGCTGCAAATCAGGGGTCAGCACTCATGGACTTATGCGCCCACAGAGAACATTTGGATTGATTGATGTTACTCTCACATCTTGCACTTGGATCCCGACATGCCTTTAAATCAGAGTAGATAATAGGTCTTCAACATAAAAAGCTTGAGAAACTTGGAAGGCACTGTGTGACTCCCCAACTTCCCAAAGTATAAGCGGGCAGTTTTCAGCTTTCACTGAACTATCGATCCCTCCTTGTGAGGGTGCAAGCCAAGCAGTTGTGCTTGGCAGCAAAGCCCAATTATGAAAATGGAGCCAAGCCTGTTCTTTGTAATTTCTCTGTATATTTAAGAATACTCCAGGGCCACCATTTAAAACTGTTTGGAGATAAACAATGCATTTAAAAGTGTTTGGATGGAGAGAACGCTTGCTGAGTGCAAAACAGAGCAGAGAAAGAGACAGACCCCTTTGCACTTGGTATTAACATGTGATTTCAGTGATCAGATCACAATTGGACAGCACTTGATCATATTAAAATCCAGAAGTAAATGCACCCAAGATCACTGAATTACATACATTTGCAATTGACCAGGGACAAATTCTGATCATGTTCAGCAAAGGTATAAATGATACTATGTATGTAATACCTATTGCATTACAAATAACCATTATCTTTCAATTTGATGAACTGGTTTCTGAAATCTTTATGCATTTACACACACATACACACACACACACACACACACAAGGAAATAATGAATATATTCATAATATAAATTAATATAATATATGCATTTTTCACAATGTGAGAGCAGAATATACAGAAAGAGCCAACAGCCCACAAAAGGACACTTGGTAAGAATAAAATATATCTTGCAATGGAATTTCTTGATGTCATCACCAAATATAAATAAATAAACAAATAAATAAATAAAATCTGAAATTAATTTAAAACTTATTTGTATTTTTAAATTTAATTAAATTTAATTTTTTGACATTGACATCGCAATAACTTCTGTGGTATTTTATGCCTGTGGGTTCTTGCCTTTTTCTTTATATTATTCTCTTATAATGTGAACAACACAACAGGCACATCTTGTGATCTGATCACCCCATGCAATGAACAACATCCTATGAATTATTACACTGGAAACTGTTTGGATTCCTTTGTTTTTCTTCGAAATCCTCACATTTCTTTCCTGGTCTATTTTCACAGGGGCACTTTAAAATATCATTTTCTAACCTAATCTTCACTTCTAATCTGTATTTTCATCCTTTACTGTGGGAATGTTTCTAAAGTAGAGAAACACAATAGACCATATACGGCAATATCTGTCAAGCTAGCAAATAGCACTTCGAATGATCCA